AAACAAGCAAACAAAAGCTGATGCAGAGTACATTGCTAAGAACAGTAGCTCAGAGAGACAGGGACCAGATGGCATGTCTAAGTGCTAGTAGTCCTGGTGGGAGATGAGGAGCACATACAGCTTGGCGGCATGGCCAGCCCCGCAGGCCGAAGGAATGGCAAGCACAGGGTGGATGTACAGCAGTCCTGCCAGGAATCCTCATGGACCAAGCAGGTATCCACTGCCTTCATATACCTTCAGAGGATTACCACGTTCTCTGCACAGCCTATATGCCATGTAGTTATATATACCTGGGAACAAATAAAGAAAACTCAGTCCTGGGTTCTGAAAAAAGAGTCTCCATCCTTAGTAGTGAAGAGCATAGCTTCTGGCAGTATCTTTGCTGAGCCTCTGGGGCCTGAACCTTAGAAGAGGCTGCCTAGAAAGTGCCTGTGTCTGACCAAGAGGCAAGGGTGTGGTGTGCCGAAAACAGCACCAGATTTCATGTTGAGATGCCTGGGCTCTGCAAGACTATAGCCCCTTCAAATGTAGGGGTAGGACTAGATAATCACTAAGACCCTTTCTATTCAAAAGAAATTAGCTTTAAACATAGGGCTTTCATAAGGGAGAATTAGTACTTATCTACCTACCAACCCTACAAGGATAATATTTTTAAACCCAGGCTCAGAGACATTGGGTAACTTGCCCAAAGTCACACAGCTTGGGTCCAATATTTCTTCCGGCATCTCTTGCACTTATGACTGTTGTACTGTAGACATATGATTGTTCTTGGCTGGGCATCTATCACTGCTATTATTTAAACCCTTCAGTGACTCTTCAGTGACCAAGGTGGAGAATCACTGTACTAGTATCTGAAACAGAAAAGAAAGCTTGCTGATGCCATATTGATTGAATAGAATACTTCCCCTTTGCCCCATTCCCAAAATACATATGCAAAAGCCATTTCATTTGTATGTTTCTTCTCTCTTCTCTCCACAAGGAACAGTGCTGTTAGGCTGGCCTGAGATTTTCACCTATATAAATTTCCTAAGCTGTGTTCAAGGAGAGACAAGGATTTAACCACTTTCATATTTAGCCTTGTCTCCCTGGAAAATTGTAAGCTGTTGTAAGGACTGTTATTAAGAGAATATTTAACATTAATGTTGCTATAATTTGCAAGTGGAAGAGGGAGCTGTTTGTGGTTGCTTGGCCTCCTCTAGAGGAAAAGCTAAAATTCTCAGGAAGCTCATTTAAAGGTTAACTTTCTTTTTTTCCAAAATGACACATATTCCTCAGGTGTCTGCTCTGTCATCTCCTGTCCTGATTCCTGATTTCACATTTCAGCCTTTCACATCATATAGCAGGTGCCTCCAAGCCCTGGTCACTCTGCTAAGGAGCAGGAACATCACTTATCTCCCCTCAGAAATCTGAGGCCCAGGCATGGAACCATTTCACCACTGCATAGTACTACTCATGGTTCTGCAGGTGATGTGAGAGATGCAGTGTGCTGTCAAGTCAAAGAACATGCTACAGGCCAGCCAAGGCTTTGCATTTCTCTACCCGCTCTGAGCCATGTGCCTACAAACACTTTACCGACCTTCTGAGTCATGGTGGCCTAATCTATAAAATGGGCATAATAATGTATACCTCACATGGTGGTGGTTGTAAGGTTTAAACTAAATAATTTTAAAATGTCCCTGAAATGTTGTGTATTTAATAAATGTTAGCTACTTCTTTCTTCCTTAGTAGAATCTGACTTTATGTAAATTCAAAACTTTCTGTGAAAAAATAGAAACTTTAAACATCTTTCCCCTCAGCTTTAAAAGTTAGGGATCTATCATCAAGTTTCCCCATTAGATTTTTACTCAGTTTTGAAGTTTACAAGTCATGCTCACCTAGATCCTATCTCACTCAGTCCTAAAATGTTCCTATAAAATTGGCTGAACACGTATAATTATTTTCATTTTATAGAAGCAGGAACTGAAGGTCAGAGAGGATAAGCTAACTTTCTAAAAGTACACATCCAAGATCCGAACCCAAGTGTCTTGCAGCTAATCCAGTGTGTTTCCCAAACATATTCTCCAGAAAATTTGCAGGAACTGGTCCCTCTGCTAATCGTAACCTTTTTTCTTTCTTTCTTTCTTTTTATTCTTTTTTTTTTTTTGCTTTAATTATTTTTGGCTTTACTAGGAGTGTAATTGACAATTTTAAATTACACAGATTTAATGTATGCATCTGTGATACCATCACCACAACCAAGATACTATACATATCCATCATCTCCAAAAATTTTCTTGTGTTCTTTTGTGAGTTTTGTGTTTGGTTGGTTGGTTGGTTCGCTGTCTGGTTTTAGTAAGAACACTTAACATGAAATCCTTTAGTTCACTAACTTCTATGCATCTTCCAGATTTCAACTTGGCTGTTTCTTAGCACCCCCAACCCTGCTTTGCCCCAAGTGTCTCCATGGTATCTTGAATGAACCCCTGCTAGGTACTTGTTCTACTTTATTGCAGGGGTTCTTAGACCTGAGTGTCCAATATATTTATCTAGCACCTTTTAAAAAAAAAAAGATAATAGATTTAGGGTCCCATCCAAGACTTCTTTGATCAGACATCTATTTTAAGTTTCCTCAGGTGATTCTGATGCACAGAATATTCCTTTACTAGAGTGTAAACCCTATAAGTGACCAAATCTATTTTGTTCATCATTAGGCCTCCAGCACCTTAAATAATATCTAGCAATACTAATAATTTATCATTACTATTATGGATAATATTTATGAGTGTTGGTTCTATGCCAGGGATTACAAGTAATTTACATGTGTTTATTTCCATTAATTCTGCCAACGACCTTGAGAAAGGAGCTATTATTACCTTATTTAAATGAGGGAACCAAGTCTTGGAGAGGGTCTTGCAAAACATTTAGTAAATGCATCAGTAACTGTTTTCAACTGGAGTACCTGATATAGCAGTGCAATTCATTTTTCCTACCTGCTTCCTTGATAATAAATGGAACCCACAAGAAAGTGATTGTAAAGAATAAGGAACTCTGTGGGAATCTACCTTCAGGCACAGATTTAGACATTGTGTCTGAAAAGTAGAGTGATAAGGCAGAACTTTGGAAGAACTTGGAGTCAGCCAGCATGACTCCAAGATGCTATTTCTAAGTCCCACCAATGTCATGGTTTAGTTGCTGAATCACCAAAAAATTGCCTGAATTCCTCCTGAAGAGCTTATTATTTTTTAATTAAAATGCTTTTGGCTTCAGGTAACAAAAGAACTTAGGAATTCAAGTTTAATTTTTCTCATATAAGAAATACCAAAGGTTAGAGATCAGCCAATTTTTTATAAACTACAGTAGAGCCTTTTAGTGTGTGGATCATAAAAAGCTATGGGTTGCTCTGAAAGAAATGGTCATACCTCAGTATTTGACTGTCCTGATGCATAACCTGAACTATTGACTGGAAGCCACTGTAAGGATGAAATATATAGAGAGAGGATGGTTTCCTACAGGCAAAGGTGTCAGACGAGGATGTAGTTTATCTCCTTGTTTAATCTGCACACAGAACATATTAAAAACTGGGTTAGACTCAGAGGAGAGAAGAGTGAAAATTGGTGGAAGAAATATCAATAACTTAAAATATGCAGATGATACCATCTTACTGGAAGAAAGTAGCATATTTCTGCTCACTGTCCTAGGGTGGCTAAAGCAGCACTTCACTTTGCATGAAAATGTTCAAAAGCAGGAAGGGAAAGTCAGACTCTCCCGTGTACTTCTTTCCTTTTTATAAAGGAGAAAAGTCTTTCCCAGGAACAACCTAGCAAACGTTCTCTTCTTTCTAGAAGTAGGTCACACAGCCACTGCTAGCTTAAAAGAAGTCGAGGAAAGCAAGTAACATATATGGTGCTTTTACTTCTCTCTTAGGAGGTAGAAGCAAGAAAAAGGGAAGAAAGAAATGATTGATATTTAGACAACAAATTGTCTCAGCCCAATATTCTTAATTTAAAATACCTGATCATTAATCTAGACTAGATCCCCCTTTGGAATAGTTTTAAAATGAGTTTAGCCCTATGAATCCAATGTTGTTCGAAAAAAACATGTTAACTCCAGGGAATTTAGATGACTACACCATCAAGAGTTAGCGATTTTGGTAACAAGGATATTCGATGATGGCTAATGCTCTTTTCTCCTATTTTTAGGTCAACAGTGATCTTGTTTACATTACAGCTAAAAAAGATGGCACTCATGTTGTGGAAGCTGTTGACACCACCCACATTGGGAAATTAATTGTGACCAAACAAATTGGAGGAGATGACATGAAGGATATTACTGATACCTACAAATTCCAAGAAGGTAATTTACTATAACTGAATGAAGATTTCTTTGCCCAAGTCCATTTAGTAATCACCCACTGTCACTATGAGATATATCCCAGAGAATACACTGGCAATTGCAGCATTTGGTAGTCAAAGCAGAAGTATAAGCTCTCGTGAGTGTGAAGAGTTATTTAAATTTCTCATTGAAGTAAAATTATATTAGTTATACAACATTATAACACATCACACACCAAATTTTTTATTACAGTTTCATGTGTTTGTTTGCTTTGAACAGAATTCTCCTTTGCATGGCTTATGAAAATAATTTGATTTTAAGTCATATCTATTTTAACAGCATATAGAATCTATGTAAGAACAAAAATACGAAAGAACATAATTTTAAATAATCCTATTAGAAAATGTTGTATAACTAATATAATTTTACTTCAATGAGAAATTTAAATAACTCTTCACATTCGTTTAGTACTTTACACACTATTCTTACATACATTGTTCCATTGAGTTATCATGGAAATCCCTTGAGGTAGATAATACAATATTAATAGGACAGTGCAATCTCACTAATTCAGGCTAATTAAGTTGAAGACCCATTTCAATTATAAAATAATGATAAGATGGTTTTGTTAACTTTTATTGTGTAGTATGTTTCCAATCGAGCCATTGAGTTCAATTCCCCCCTCTATCAGTATTGATTGCTTACTCTATGCCTGGAATTGTCTGTGGTGCTGGGAATTCTTATAGTGAGCAGGACCAAATTTCTGTTCTTGGCCAAGTGATAGAATTATTATATAGAGGGGCCTTTGATAACAAAGAAGGACAGTCAATCCAACCAGGAGATTCAGAAAAAGCAAAGCTGAGTGAGATAAATCACAGATCATAGTTAACACTGGATAGGGTTTTCCAGGCACTGGGAACATGACCAAAGGCATGGAGGTGTGAAGCAGCTGGTGTGCTTAGCATCCTGCAGGCATTACTAAAGCATCAAGCTCAGAGTGCCCGGGGGCTGAAGACAAAGCTGCCCAAGGTCAGTAGCAAACAGGAAGTAAAGGATCTTAGGTATCTTGATGGGGAATGTGGAGTATATTTTACAGATGATTCACCAGCAGAGTTCTTAGGAGTGGCATTCATTTTAGTGAATGGATAAAAAATAGTGAATAATTATCATATACCTAAATATTCATCAGTATTCCTGAAGTGCTAAGGAATGCAGAATTTGTTTTAAATATTTTAGACAGTCTCTCTGCTCTTATTTACAAAACCAATTTGCACTATAAAGAGAAAGTTTGCTGAATTGAGAACTCTTGTGCATAGTATTAGAAATTCAGAATTTTTGTCATCTGAACCAGTGAATTTTTGCTGTATTTCTGAAATGATCCATTCTTCGTTTCTGTGGGTTATTATCTATTGTACAATACAGATAAAAAAAGTTGGCTTTTTCCTAAAAAGGAAGGAAAGTAATAAATTTGAATACATAGCAATAGAAACAATCCAAAAAAAGGTTTTTTGCTAAAATAAATACAAGCACAACAAAACAAAACAAATAAGGAATGCCCTCTTGTTACAGAGTTACAGTCAAAAAGGCTTCGAAAAGAAAAAAAGTCCATGATAGAAGTAAAAGAAACTAGCTGCAACATTCACTCGTTTATTCATTAATTCATTCAATGACTTGCTATTAACCGTCCTCAATATTCTCAATACTGTGTAGAAATGGAGACATGCACAGCACTGCCTTCCCATCTAGCTGGAGATACAAGCAGGAAGCAAGCCCTCATCAAGCTGTGTGGTGGATACCCTGAAGAGGGGTGGGCAGATGTTGCAGGGCACAGAGAAAGGACTCCCAAGACAAACTGAAGGATCCTGGAGGACATTATGATGGGCTCACCGAGATGGAAAGATAAACAGTAATTGTCTAGGTGAAGCAAGGGAAAGGAGTTTCTGGGAAAAGGCAGCAGGATAGGGATTGTGGATAAACTTTTGTAATGTGGAATAAGTTCTGACCAGACAAGAAAGCAAGAGGTGAGTCTACAGGGAGCCATTCAAGTGATCAACTGTCTTATCTAAATCTCACAGCAAAACACCATAGCTGTCAAACATGGAGGTGACAGATATCAAGAGAGGAAGGACCCCAAAGCAGCCTATGAAAGAGGAGTCAGGGGCTTGGCCAGGGGTGGACACCAGATTAAAGAAATAAAATGTTCCAACTCTGAATAAGGAAGACATTTGTAGTCCAGGTTTTCAGAGCTTGGCAAGATGGCAAGGCTCAGAGAGGTAGACAGTGTAGGGGATCTGGTCTAAACAGAAGATCCCCTAAATTTTGTATAGTTCTAAGAGACACACAACCTGCTAGGCTGGAGTTTGATGCCAGGTGGATGGATAATTAGCTTCTTAATCAAGATGGCATTTCAAATTCTAACTTTGGGAATGACCAAGTAGAATGCTATTCAGAGAAGGATGCTGACTGCACTACTCAAA